GATGCTTAGGATGTATAGATTCGATCCATCCCATGTTATCACTCCTGAAAAATAGAGATCCGACCAGATTTAACTTATGAGGAAGAACCAATGCGAATATTGGCTAAGGAAACAAAAGAATTACGTAACAAAAGGATTATGTTGGTTAAAGTGCTTTGGCAGAATCATAAGATAGAAGAGGCTACATAGGAAAGAGAGGAGGATATGAAAAAGCAGTTTCCACATCTCTTCATTTTAGGTACTTCTTTAAATTCGAGAATGAATTTTCTTAAATGGGATAATTGTAATACCCCAAATATCAAATTAGGGACTTTATTGAAAGGATTTAAAAATATGAGGATTTATTCGATTAAATGATAGAAGTTGAGAATGATTTGGATTAGTGGCTTAGACTAAATTGTGTCAATGGATGATTAAAAGGGCATTTTGGTCCTTTAAATGAAAATGAATTTATAATTCATTCTAATAAGGTATTAAAGAAAAGGGGAAAAGGGGAAAAGGGAAAATAGGTTACCACAAAAGTCATCTCTCTTTTCTTCTTCTTTCCCCGTGAAAAAGCTCTCATCCATATCTCAAAGGTGAGATTTAATATGGCTAGTTTTCATTTCGTTTTTGGATGGTTTTTAAAGCCTTTAGTATGATACAAGCTTAATGAAGGTTTTATGGGATTAAAACCATGAGATAGAGGAAATAATGAAGATTTATGAAAATAGGTTTTGAAATGGTATGTTAATAAATGAGTGTTTATGGATGTTTACTGGTAGATTTGACTTGTCAAAGAGGTAAATGAGAGATTAGAAGCATTAGATAGGATTAAGAACATATTAGAAAAAATGGTGTGACTCTTAGAATTGAATGTTTTTGGAATATTTTAGATGTTTTAAGAAACTCAATGAAGGAAAGTTAGTATCGATAGGTAAATAAGAGTTTAATAGTATTGTATGGTGTAAACATAACGAAATTTGACTCCATTTGGGTGATAATCGGGTTGAAAACTAGAAATTCTGGGCATGGGTATCGGTATTGATAGAACAGTTTCGATAATATAGGCTTAAAATCAGTAGAATCTACAGAGTAGTATCGATACCGATTCAAGTGGTATCGATACCAAGAGTGGAGTATCGATACTATGGGGATGGTATCGATACCATTGATCACAGAATGAAAAAATGGTATCGGTATCGTAATAGAGTATTGCTACCATAGTATACTAGTATCGATACCATGGTGGGGATATCGATACTATTGAGATAGAAATGTTAAAAATAGGCTGATATTGTTATAGAAAGTTAATGATATGTCCTTTTGAGTATTATTTACGTATAATTGTTAGGAAATATACTAACAATTGACATGGTACGTGTTTTTAATATATGCTTGAGTAGATCAAAATCAAGCTCCCGAGACAAGCAAAACGAAGGGCTAAGCTCAAGCACCTGAGTAATCAACTTTGCATTTTGGATACAGTAGCGAGGAAAGACAGGTGAGTTTGTGTAACTATATGTTATACTAGTCATATATGTATGATTGATTAATATGTGTGTAGTGATTACCAAATAGGAACTAAGTGTGCAATTCAAGGAATTCATCATATGTTGATAAATAACAATTTCAACACTAAGTGTGCAAATCACAGAATTCATCATATGTTGATGAATAACCGTTTCGGCACTAAGTGCGCAAAGTACATAATTCATCATATGTTAATGAATAACTATTTTGGCAATAAGTGTACAAATCACGGAATTCATCATATGTTGATGAATAACCGTTTTGGCACTAAGTGTGCAAATCACGGAATTCATCATATGTTGATGAATAACATTTTGGAACTAAGTGTACAAAGTACGGAATTCATCATATGTTAACGAATAATCGTTTCGGCACTAAGTGTGCAAATCATGGAATTCATCATATGTTGAAGAATAACCGTTTTGGCACTAACTGTGCAAAGTACGGAATTCATCATATTTTGATGAATAACCATTTCGACACTATGTGTGCAAACCACGGAATTCATAATATGTTTATGAATGATCGTATGGGTACTGCGGGTGCATTACAAATAAATGATAATGACTGGAAAATAATGAATTTGTATTTGATCAATAATAAATAATGATATAATGATTTCATTGTATGGTTAGTTTTTGCCTCACTAAGTAATACTTAACGTGTGTTTATTTCACGCGTAGGTTTAATAAAAGCTGAGTAAGGATATCATCGGACATCAAAACCAGAGTCGCCTCGTCAGTAACAATATGGCATACATGTCTACTTTTGATGTATTTTAGTTGGAATGTAATAGGTTTAGTAAAAACACTCTGAAAAACATTTGAATTAAATTGTTGTAAACCGTTGAAGTGTTTGAACTTCTCTTTTTGTTTGTCTATTTAAGTTTAATGCATGTTTTATTATAAGTAAATTAAAATGTTTTATAAAAAAACAAAATTTTATAGGTTTTCAAATGAGGAATTGTTTTAAAAGTGACGTGACATCTGTATCTCGTATACGGAAAGCTATACGGGAGATGAATGTTACACCAGCAACACGTGTGTAAGCCTTAAACATCTTTCGAAGGTCGCTTGTATTTGGTAAGGTCTACATGTAATGTGCTTCAAGGCCAGGCTTATCAACGATAACTTTAGCTTGCAACGAAGGCATCTGTCGTGTTGTAGATTTTTTAAGCTTAATTAATATCAAAATGTATAACTCATCTTTCTTGATCTTGGCATCAAAAGAAGTGTATAAATAAGTTCCAGAATGGAACACAGTTATAGAAAATCTGGCCATTAATATTTGTTTTACGAAGGTATCCATCCAACATGGTTATTATTTGTTTTTTATAGATATATTTTCTCCAAATCTCGCAACTTTTAGATTGCGAGACTTGTCATTTCAAATCAAATGGTGCTACCACGTCAGGAATACCTGCCACTTTAGAAATCTCTGTAGAACTCGCATTTTACAAAACACGAGTTTCCTGCCACATCAAGAATCTCTGCCACATCGGGAATCTTTGTCGAACTCGTGTTTTGCACAATGCAAGAGCGTTGACTACAAATAACCTCCCCTTCAGCTGGTATTGTAAATTTTAACACATGATCTCTGCTTATAAGAGGTTTCTCTTATAGTGGTACAACTTGACACGAAACATAGAGATTCTTATGCCAATACTAGTGCTATAAGTTATGCCACCCGAAGAGGATGCCTTTTATAAAAGATATTCCCTTCTCAATAAAATTATTGTTTCATCAAAATCGGCTTTTTCATCAAATCAACAATGTTTATAAAAAAAACTTCCTCTTCGGGTGGTATCCTCTGCAGCTTGTAGTTCAAATTGTCTTTCATATGGTATATTTGTAAAGTCAATTCAATATGAGTAACCTGACCTTCTAGAGAAACTTATCGTTTCTAAGAATGCATCTTCATCTGGTGGCATCCTCTACTTATCGCTCGTGATGTTGATATGGCAGACGTCACACCTCTATTTGTCTTCTGCATCTTTTTTCCGTGCATTTTGTACAGAAGGCTTCTTGAGAAACTTCTTGTTCCATCAAAACCTAGCATTCTCAGAAAACTTATCGTTTCTAAAAAGGCATCATCTTCTGTTGGTATCATTGTTCCATCAAACTTATCATGCTTTTCATTGTACTATTTTTGTAATTAACAAAATATATTCGTTAGTTTTTAATTTCTTTTTGTTTCAAAACATTTTCATTGTGATTGTTACACCGCTGAAAATGACTCGTATGTGTTGATACTAGTCATGTCTATCAAACTGTTTCAACTTGTTCTTCATGCACAAAACCAAGCTTTGGAACCATTTTGAACGCGATTTTCACCCCACTTACAATGTCTCGTATGTGTCGATATTAACCTCAACTGAAAGATTAATATCAATACTACAGTTATAATCTTATAAATTACGAAAAGTTTAGATTAACAACCTGAAAATACCCCCAAACATGTCTATCAAGCCATTTTTTATCTTCTTATTCTTGAACAAAAAAGCTTTGGAACCATTTTCAACACGATTTTTAACCAACTTACAATATCTCGTATTTGTCGATATTAACCTCAACTAAAAGATAAATTCTAATAATACACCTCTAATGTTTTAAATAACAAAAAAATAGATTAACTACCCAAAAATACGCCTCAAACGTGACTGCCAAAGCTAGAAATCGAAAGAACTCGTATTCTACATAGCGCTAGACTTTTAAATTCCATACATGAGAAATTCCTGAACACATTTTAATATCTCGTGGACCTCGTGGTTGGAAAAATGTGAGGTCATTTTTCTAAAATATTAAATTCTGCTCTTTGAAAAGTGTTTCCATGTTGGAGGAACCTCGTGCTCTATAGGAAGTGAAGCCTTGATTAACTTTTCGTAGAATGCGAGATAATATTATGTGTGCAGTTTCAGAGTATTCTCTCAATTAATGTTGTTTGGGCCTTGGGTTGTTTTTCTAATAAAATAATAAATAGGGTTTTTTATTTAATAACGCTTCTTTCACTCTAAAACTTTCTGCCCACGTTTCTATTTCTGGCTTCCATGCTCACGTAGAGCATTGGAAAAAAAATAATTTCTCGACTAAGGCTCTTACCATACTATTTCTCGATATAGGGTTATTACTATAGTATTAGGGAAAGACGCGTGGCAATCTTGGAGTCTTCAATTAAAGACTCCGTGTAATCTTGAGTCTTTAGCTTTCCCAAGGTTAAAGATGCATAGTAATCTTGGAGTCTTCAACTGAATCTCCTTGTAATCTTGGAGTCTTCTAAAGGTAATGTAGCATTTACCCTAGTATGGAAAATAATACCTGAGATGGACTATTTTGAGAAATTTCTTTTTTTAAAGACATTATTTTAACCATTATCCCTTCTATTTTTTTTCTCTGGAATAAACCCCAATAATATATAGTATTTTATATTTTTTCCCGTTATTCCACCTCTAAAACCCTAAACTTTCTCCTCCCTTCCTTCCTCCTCCAGAGATGTTGATGTCTAGGGCGTTGTCACGTGTCTCAAGGAGCGCTGGTGCGCGCTCCTTGCTTCTCTCAGCTACCAAGAGCCTTCAAATGCCAAGCTTTTCCACTCAGTTTCACTCTCTTATCTGTGACTATCCAAATAAGGTACATAAATATTTGCAGTGTTTAACAAAAAATCAATAAACCGTTGATTTGTTTGATTAATTTTGAGAGGATTTTAATAGGGTTAAAGATTTTGTTTAAATTGGCTCAATTTTAATGACTTGTTGTGTTTTTTTTCATTTTTTTTATTCTTTATCTTTGTTTCACCATGTTTGAGTTCACTGAGTTTTGGTTTGTAGTTAAAATGACTTAAATTTATATGAAAGTGAGTGCCTTATGTAAGCTTTATATTTGTTCTATTTTTTTCATATTTATTTGATTATTTTTAAATTTTTTTTACCAACTGCCTTAATGTAGTCATTACATTAATAATTTATAAGTTGCAATTTCAATTTACATATTCATTTGATTGGGATCTTGTTTGGTTCTAAGGTTCACTTTTTCAGTAATTGAATTATCATGCTGGAATTTGGATCTTAAACTCATATTTTGATTCCTACAAAACATAACCAAGTTCATATTATTTGCATGCATTTTCTTTGTCTATGCAGGTGATTACAAATGATGTATTTAAGCTGCAATATTCAAACCTAAATTTCTCTGCATTCCAACGATTTGGGATCTCTTCAACAGCCTCCTCCTAACCTTCCGGAAAGGAACATGAGAGTACTGTAGAGAATAATGGTGAAGATCCTGCAAAGGCAAGTGGGATTACGAATCCTGGAGAGACCGAAGTTACAAAAGAATCAGCTCTTAACACGGAGTCGCAAAATACAGTGCCTCAGTCTGAAAAAGGGAAGAGGAGAGCCACTAAACGAACTGCATTTTCTGATTCGGATTCCGAGAGCGATGGTGACCTATCAATGGTTGAGATGGTGAAACTTGTGGAGGAAAAAGAAGAGCTCCTGAATACCAAGCAAAAGGAGATTGAACAAATGAAGGACAAAGTGGTTCGAACTCTTGCAGAAATGGAGAATGTTATTGCCAGGACAAGACGGGAAGCGGAGAACTCGAAAAAATTTGCCATACAGGTAGTGTTGGCGAATCAATAACCACTTGATTTCTAATTGGCTGCTTTGGCGTGTATATCAAAACAAATATATGATTAAAACGGAATTTCAATTGCTTTGGGAAAAAACATCTAAAACCCTTATAAATCAACAACAAATTAATTAAACGGACTATAATTTCAGTACAAGCTTAATTAATAAACCATAAAATAATAAGGAATCCTGAAAAATCCCATTAAATAACTGTACCAGATATGCCACATACCTAAAATACAAAAACCAACACGATAATTAGCAGAATAGTCAAAATCCCAACAAATAAATAAAGCTTTCTTTCCTTCGAAACCTACATGTGGCTGCGCAAAAAAACCATAAAATCCCAGTAAACCATGCCAATATAAAACTAAATAAGCTCGTAGAGCCAACAAAACAAGAGCTCCAAACAAATTCCATAAGAAAAGAAATACCCACTCCTCCAAATACCCCAAATTCAATAACCACCCTAATAATTACCCCAATCATCGAAAATCTGCAAAAGGAAAAAGCATTTTCTTTCAAATCCATGTGCATAAACATGCAAAATGTCGCCAATAAGATCAAACTAATAACCTTATAAGTTCTACCTGATTTAAAAAGCCAAAAAAAGGGGGGTAAAAGCTTCCGGTAGTGATAAACCTAAGCAATAAAAATAGACCAATTGGAGGTTATTCTCAGAAGAAGAAATAAAGCTAAATTATCTGCTTCTTTTCCCAAAATAAAACAGAGCCTTTTGCTAATAAAATTAACCGAAAAGTCAAAAAAGTGAACCTAAAATAACCTATTTCCTGAAAATTTTATAGAACTTTTTTTTGTTAAATTATATTTAAATTTACTTTTTTTTTGTTTAAATAGATATTTGAATCGGATTTTATCATTCAAATAAATTATTTATCATAATTACTAATTTTAAAAAAACGTTTACGTTCAAGTTTCAATTCGAATCAACAAATCAAATTCATGTACTCAATTAGACTTAAAAAAGTTTTACTTATTAGTTAGAATCAAGTAATCTTGGCGTTAAAAGAATTTTTATTATCCTTTGAAGTTCGTGTTCGAGCACCAAGAATGTTTGGAGTATGAGCACTCAGTATCAAATGGTTGAGAGTTATCTTTGAATATATATATTGGCTTGTATTTACCTAGATTAATTTAAAAATAAAAGAATTCTTGGTGTGTTAGTGTTCAATATCAAATAATTGAGAATTATATTTAAATAGATAATATTTTGAACTTACCTTATATTAATAAAAAAAAATCTAATTATTAAATTGCATCTTAAAATTAAATTTTAATATTTAATTGGGGAAAATAAATTTAAGGGTAAACTATGCATTTAGTACCTAAACTATCAGTTTTGGTCCATTTTAGTACCTAAACTTTCAATTTTTTTATAACATACCTAACGTTTAATGTTTGTTTCATTTTAGTAACCCTTCTTTAAAAACTCAACACGTTTAGTACCTAAACTATTAGTTTTGGTCTGTTTTAGTACCCAAACTTTCAATTTCTCTTCAAAACTTAACGTTAAATTTTAAATGAGGTACTAAAATGAAAAACTAATTTTTACGTATGATTTTGAAAGAAAATGAAAATTTTAGTTACTAAAATGGATCAAAACTAATAGTTTAGGTGCTACCACATAATTTACCTTATATTTAATATTAGCTTAAATTTTAAATTTAAATAATTATATATATAATCTAATTATTTTTGTTTGATAGATTTTACTTATGAGAATCAATTTCTTCGGGATTTATCGGCATCAAATGGATCTAAAATCAATTGAAAATAAGAATTGGCTTTTGCCAAGAAGTTTCTTTGGAGATTTACTGAATAAGACTTGTCAAATTATCAAGTATTGATCAATTTTTTTTATATTTCCATTTCTTTAATCGAAGTCAAACTATAATGGTCAGTTAATTGTACATGTCTCAGCTGTAAAATTTAGGTTAATTACACAAATTATCCCGACTATAGAGTTGAGCCTCTCATTTATTAAAAGTTACAAAATAATCTCATGATTATATAGTGTTGATTTGTTGAGTCTCCGATTATTAAACGTTACAAGATGATCACCCGATTATTCATATATTTTAAAATTGTCATTTTTTATTAAAAAATTATTGATCGTCTAAGTTGGACGTTAAGTGCAAATTAGGATATGATAAAACCATGCTTTAATGATGTCTACGGTTTTTTTTTTGGTTTAATAGGGTACAAGGGCCGTCTAGCTTCACGTTCTATAAGAATTTAACAACTCCTCAACTTCCTTGGGTGAGTTTTCCAGAAAAATAATGTCTTCATGATACTTCCATGTCTGCTTGGTGATGAAATCTACGACGCGGTTTGCCTCTCTAGGTATATGCTTCAAGTCTATCTCCCAATTTTTCTTTAAGAGATTCCCTATGTGTTGCAGAATGGTAAGTTTTTTGTGTTCAATCGATTTGTTTTTTATTAGACTGATAGCTTCTTTGTTATCGGATTCCAAAATCACTTTACTTTCTCCCCTAATCCAAGACATGTTTAAGCCCTCGTGGATACCCCACAGTTCCGCTTCCAAAATTGAACACATCCTTATTTTTCTTCCAAATCCGCATCTCCAATTTCCATTGTAGTCTCTAGCAACACCCCCGCATATAGCTTCTCCAGTTCTTTGATTTCTGGTTATGTCTGTATTTATTTTACAGTAGTTTCTAGTAGGCTTCTGCCATTTGTAGTGCCTGTTATTTTTGCTTTGTGGGTTACCAGACTTAGTGACTCCGGGGTTCTGTAAATCTTGGTTCAATCTTTTAGCTTGTTGAATAATCGATTCTCTTTCGATCATTTCTGGGTCGAAAATTGTCTGATTTCTTCTTTTCCAAATGTTCCAGATTACAGAGCTGAAGAAAGATGGCCAGCTTTCAATTGATGGTGCAAACGATTGGGTTGCTTCAAGGTTCTCGGTAATCCACTCCTTAATGTTGCTACTCAGGAATTTTCCCAGCTTCTGGGTATTAATTAATTCCGCCCATATCTCCAGATTTCTCGGGCAGAGTCTCAGCATATGGTTTAAATCTTCTGTCTCATAGTTGCAAATGGGGTAACTTGCATCCGTCGTTATATGCCTACGCTTTCTTTCCAGATTGGTCAGTAATTTATCTTTTCCAATAAGCCATAGAAAAGATTTGATCCTGGGAATATTATTATGTTTGGCAATGATGCTCCAAATCTTTTCCTCTATTGAATTATTATTTTCTAACTCCTTATACGCAGATTTGACTGAGAAGACTCTGTTCTCCGAGGGGATCCAACCTGGTGTGTCAGCAAGGTCTTCATCGATTGAAGGAGGTGTTGCTTTCAGTTTTCTGATGGTTTGATCTGGGAGTAGTCTTGTGAGTATATTCCAGTCCCAGTTGCCATTTTGATTAACCAATTCTTTGACTTTGGACTTGTTGTTCTCTACTTCCCTTGGTTGTTTGCATAGATTGAATAGAGAGTCTTTATTATCTAGACATCTATCATGCCAGAATTCAACATGTTTACCGTTTTCAATGTTCCAGCAAATGTTCTGTTTAAACTTTGCCAAAGTGAGCATATATTGTTCCATAGAGATGATCCTCCTCTTTTCTCAAGCTTTTTAGGTAGAGTCTCTTTCATTCTGTATTTGCTTCTATACACCTGCACCCATAAAAGGTCAATTCTATTAGTAAGTTTGTATGCAAGTTTGAAAATGAATGCCTTATTTTGGTTTCTCAAATTCTTCAATCCTTGACCCCCTTCTTTGATCGGTTTACAGAGTGTCTCCCAGTTTACAAGATGAATACCCTTCTGTTCATTAGAATTTCCCCAGATAAAATCTCTGGTTAGCCTTTCAATCTCCTTGCATGTTCCTTTAGGCATTAATATTGACTACATAGTGTATGCAGGAATAGCGTTGAGAACTGATTTAGCAAGCATAATTCTTCCCGCTAGAGATAATGTTTTAGCCTTCCAACCTGTAAGTCTGTCTTTAATTCTTTAGATGATGTTGTTGTAAGTTCTTTTATTTATCTTGTTGTGCAGTAATGTAACTCCCAGGTAATTCCCAAGGTTCTTGACTTCCTTGATGTCAATCATATTGGTTATGGAATTTTTGATCTGTTCAATAATATTGTTGGAATAAAAGATGCTGGATTTCTGCAGGTTAACCTTTTGACCCGAGCTGCTACAGAATTTATGGAGAGTTTTTTTAATAATATCGATTTGAGTCTTGTCAGCTTTTGCAAAGAGCATAAGATCATCTACAAAAAAGAGGTGAGAAATGTTAGGACCATTTCTAGACAACTTAATCGGTTTCCATTTGCCTTGTTCAACTAATAATGCAATTTCTTTAGCCAGCCTTTCCATGCAGATGACAAAGAGGTAAGGTGATAGGGGGTCTCCCTGTCTGATCCCCCTAGTTGGTTTAAAAGGCTCGGTAAGATCTCTATTCCAGTTGATTTGGATTATCATGGATGTAATGCAGTTCATAATGGCTATAATAATCCTATTAGGCAGACCCATTTTCTTGATATTGTCCTTAATGAAATCCCAATCCAATCTATCATAAGCTTTTTCAAGGTCAATCTTGATGGCCAACCAACCCTTTTTTCCTTTCTTTTTCTTCATGGAGTGAATTACTTCTTGAACTAGAATAATGTTGTCAGTAATAGACTTGCCCGGAATAAAACTCGTTTAGCTATTAGAGATGATGATAGGAAGGATAGGTTTTAGGCGGTTCACAATGACTTTGGTAATAATTTTGTAGGTCACTTGACAGAGGCTTATGGGTCTAAATTGAGTAATTCTATCAAGATTATCCACCTTAGGTAATAACACAAGGCTAGTTCTGTTAATAGCTTCATCTATCTGTCCTCCATTAAGGCAGTACTTAACTAAATTGCAAACCTTTTCTCCAACAATGTCCCTATTGCTCTGGAAAAAACTCGCATGAAACCCATCAATACCTGGAGCTTTGAGTGGGCTCATACTGAATAAAGCTTCTT